CAGGTAAGGATCACCTTGGGATGGGAGGCAGTGGTGGAGCACCTCTTTCTCGTCGATTGGATCCACCTTGATGGGGAAAAATAAAGGACAAAATATAACTTTGGTTAGGAAAAGTCTTATGTGCTCACTGTGGAATTTCAGAGATGGTTGTAAAGGTTCCCCCTATAACCAAGGCTGAGAACTAACTGGCCTATGTGGATAAGAAGTGAGACATGAAAGGCTGAAGCAAGAGAGGATCTGAGTAAACGTTACAACAGAAGGCTGGCCCCCACTGGCTACTGCACACTTGTACGAAGTTAAGAAAGTCTCCCCTTTAAAAAAACTGAATGAATTATTTTTCTCTTTATCTGAAACATAGTATGTGCTTATTATAAAAGGTTTAGAAAATATGGATGAGTAATAGCAAAACAAAAAATTCACCCAAGCTTGTACCATCCAGAGATAACCATTAATTACATGTGTATATTTTCCATTTGTTTTTCTATATACTTTCCTTTTTTCTTCTAGAAATATAATCATACATATCTACATTTTAGTTTGAATATCTTTCAAAGTCATTATTCTTTATCAGTACAATTACCAGTGATACACTGAATTCTCTTATAGGGGTTATAGCTTATTTACTCAGTCCCTTTTGGAGGGCCGTTTAGGTATCTTCCAATTTCTAAACAATGCTTTTTTTAAGCTATGCATATTCATGGACTATCAACACTATAAACAGGCTTAAATTCCATTCATATTAATCTATTTATTTTTTGGTTCATTTATGCCACATCCCTTTTTTAAGATCTAATAAGCACCAAGCATGAAGCCAGGAATTCAGATGCTATGAGCAGGTGTACAGGGGCACATGTCAGTTGGGTAGGTCTGCTATGAGATTCACTGCTCAGAGACTCAGTTCAATCATCACTTGTCAGATTCCTCAGCCTACATCTCAACATCCACCCTAAGACCCCACTTAGAGATTTCCATGATAGAACCAAATCTCTGAGCAAGTAGGGCTGAGGAAAACCCTGGCAGCTCATTACCTTACCTCTCTCTCCCGCTCACCTTCCCCAAGCAAGTCTTTTCTTGGTTAAGTATCTGAGGAAAGACTCATCTGGATGTAAGCTAGTCAGGGAGCCTGCTCCTCTATTGCCACACCACAGGCGGTTAGCAAAATGAGGGCTGGCCTTGGACAAAGCTGTAATTAGGGGACACTGAGTATGCTCTCTGGAGTCCTGGTGGGAGAGTGGATAAGCACTCAGCTGCTGAATGAAAGGTTGGTGGTTTGAACCCACCAGCAGCTCTGTGAGAAAAAGATGTGGCAGTCTCCTTCTGTAAAGATTATAGCCTTGGAAATTAGCATGAAAAAAAATATTAAATGCATAATCTGGAAATAGTTAAAGCAAATCTACAAAATATTTGAGGGAAGCAGTAGAAATTAATCCATCAATTTAACTAATATTTTAAAATGCCTCCTGTATCTCAGGCTGTGGGCCACATGCAAAAGATAAAATAGTGAGCAGGATACAGTTCTAATCCTCAAGTTGCTTACAGTCTCAAATAAAGGAGGGTGGGGAGGGGATATGTTTAGTTACTAAATTAAAAATCTAGAGGGGCTGGAGAGGATGATTCTAATATTGTTTTTTAAATACAAGTAATATTAAAATTAGGAGCTCTGGTAGCATAATGCCACCAGCCACTCCTCGGAAGGAAGGTTGGGCAATCCTACTTCCGTAGTGATACTGCCTCGGAAACCCAAGGAGGGGTCGCTATGAGTCGGGGCTGACTCGACGGCAAACAACAACAAAATATTAAAATTAGAAGAAGAATGTTTATAAGAAATCAGAAAAAATAGAGTCTACACAAACAACTCCTTCAAGTGAATTCCTCATTAACGCCCAAGGCGGAGAAAAAACAGCCTGTGCTCTTCAGATAGAAGCTTCTTTTCTGACACACACACACATGCACACACACACAGAGAGAGAGAGAGAGAGAGAGAGAGAGAGAGAGAGAGAGAGAAAGAATTCAGTTATCTGTTCTTTACCACAAAAACGAAACTCACTGCCGCCGAGTCGGATCTGATTCATAGTGACCTCTCCTTGGGTTTCTGAGGCGGTATCACTATGGAAGTAGATTGCCCTACCTTCCTTCTGAGGAGTGGCTGGTGGGTTTGAACCCCCAGCCTTCTGGTTAGCAGTCAAATGCCTTAGACATTACTCCACCAGAGCTCCTTAGTGAGACTTATTTTTCACCAAAAACTCGGACCAACTCTGGTGTGAAAATTTTATTATAGTACCCATTTTTAAATTAGGCATTGTCTAGGAATGCACTATTCTACATAAATGAATTTTTCTAGGAATTAAGATTTTTCCTTTCAAGCAACAATATTCTGTTTATACCTGGCATTTATTCATGGAAATTTTGCTAAAATACTTAATTCTTTGGGTTCTTTAACAGAGGCTCAAAACACAATCTACTCTGTTCTTAAGCCAATAGAAACATCTGGTATTGTCCTATGTAGTCATATGTAGCACAACTCTGCATCCCACTGCCTCCTTTGACTTGAGCCTGCCTCCTATCACTTTTCCCTCCTATCACAGTGATTTTGCTTCTAACCCACCTTAACTTCTGCTGATGGTAATCTGCTCTAAGGCTGGGAACCAACCAACCAACTTATTTAAGAATTGTGTGTTGTGCAAGAATTGTGGGCTCTGAGTATGTGTAAGGTGCTCTGCTAGGCAGTAGGGATATGACTAGGGACATGGCTAGGAACATGGTAACGATTATCTGACATGCTCAACCAATAACTTTTTCTCCCCATATTTCTGGCTTGGCAGGTTACTTCTGAGGCTAAGGTTGCTACAAGTTTGAGCCTTATCAGCGATTCATGTTTATTTCATTCTTTCTTAGTCCTATTCATTTTACTGTGAAATTTGTCTATTTTCTCTTCTCATTTATATTTCTTCAACAAGGAAAAGCAATATACTTTATAGTAGCAATGGATATATTAGAAAAAAACAGAACCAATCTAAATGGCTAATAATAGTAAACTAAAGTACTGCATGAGGACTTGATTGAGTACTGTGAAATGAAAACAATGTGGTAAAACGGGGAAGCATTTACTAAAAAAATGTTATGTAAACCTCACCAGGAAACTGTACTCTCTAATTATGTCTATATAAAAATTAGAATTATGTGGACAAAACTGGAAGAGAACCTGATAAAATGAAAATAAGTTACGCTGAGAGGGAGAGATTATGGGTATACTTAAATTTTTGTGTAATGCTTGGCAAAGCTATAATTATAATACATTTAAAATACTGAAGGAGTTACAGTTAGTTTTTGTTATAATTTATAAGATATTTTGCCACTCTCTAACTAGCAGGAATGGAAGATGGCTCTATTGGTGCTAACTCAGGAGGAGCAGAATGGGAGAAGATTGCCCAGACAAGCAAAACAATAAAATTTAACCTACTAGCAAACCAAAAGGAGCTCTGGTAGCATAGTGCCTAAGGCACTTCACTGCTAACCAGGAGGCTGGCGGTTCAAACCCACCAGCCACTCCTCGGAAGGAAGGTTGGGCAATCCTACTTCCGTAGTGATAACTGCCTCGGAAACCCA